ATCTTGACCTTAGAAACTTAGGGGAATATTGCATTTCTCTGTGGACATCCAGGGCTCATGTTTGGAATTAAATAAATATGACTAAACAATTTGATGAAAAACAATTTGCTATTAACTGCCAAGTGGCTTCATTTGTTACACTCGGGCCTATAGGGCCTTGAACCTCTGACCAGTCTTACACGGTCCGCAACAATACTGTTAACTGATGGTACAAGGAGGGGATTATAATCATTGCAATGAGACAAGGTGCATGGTTTGTTGAATGTAAAACTGATGGTCTGCCCTGTAAACTTTCACTCAATTCAGAGCAAATTTATAACTCGTGGTTAAATTCAATTCGATGTTAAATTAAATTATTCAAAATCCCCTAATTGTGCCTACATCTGTTCTTCCTAATGATTTTTTTGTTTTACAAATTAGTAAATGAATACTACCTTAAACGGTTTGGCTAGATTAGCAGAAAAATAAAAGTAATAGTGATCACATGAGAAGCTACCCAAAAACAGCAATTCACCTTAAACGGAATTTGTTAGGCTTTAAAGGAGTCCTGGTGTGGCTCTGTGGATTAATGCACTGGACTACAAAATCAGTTTGAACCACAAGGTTGGTGATTCAAGTTCATCAGCTGCTCCTAGGAAATGCTATACAAGGTGGCTCTGTGTCCGAACCCACTGGAAGGCACTTAACAGCAAAAACAAAGAGAACATCACCACCTAGTGGTAGATTCATGGTAACAACAATAAAATAAACAAAGCAGCCAGTCTCTGCCATTGGCAGCATACATTCTATTGGATGTTACTTAACAACTTTTTTAATGGACTTGGCACTTAACAACAACAACAACTCAAAATAGGACTGACTATTCTAAAGGTAGTCTTACCAACAGAGTATAAGCTATTCTATTAATGCTACCTATGTTTACCTTGAGCACAGCCTTCGGTATGGATTGCATCTCAATGTAAAGAAAACAAAAATCCTCACCACTGGACCAATAAACAATATTCTTATCAATGGAGAAAAGATTGAAGTTGTCAAGGACTTCATTCTTCTTGGATCAACTATCAACACTCAGGGAAGCAGCAGTCAAGAGATCAAACGACGTATTGCATTAGGCAAATCTGCTGCACAAGACCTTTTTAAAGTGTTGAAGAGCAAAGATGTCAGCTTGAGGACTAAGGTGCGTCCAACCCAAGCCATGGTATTTTCAATAACCTCATATGAATGTGAAAACTGGACAGTGAATAAGGATGACTGTAGAAGAATAGATGATTTTGAGTTATGGTGTTGGAGGAGAATATTGAAAGTGCCATGGGCTACCAAAAGAACCAATAAATTTTGGAAGAAGTACAGCCAGAGGGCTCCTTGGAGGGCTCCTTGGAGGCCAAGATGGCCAAACTTTGTCTCTTATGCTTCAGACATATTGTCAGCAGAAGGATATCATGTTTGGTAAGGTGGAGGGTCAGAGAAAAAGAGGAAGACCCCCAATAAGATGGATTTGCCAAGTGGCAGCATCGATGGACTCAAGCGTGGCAACAGTAGTGAGGTTGGCCCAGGATCAGGCAGTGTTTTATTCTGCTGTGCATAAGGTCGCTTTGAGTCAGTACCAACTCGATGGCACCTAACAACAACAATAAATGTTTACCTTGGGAGCACAGTTGCTCCATACGATAAGCACTGGAGTGAGAATCGGAAGGTCCTTGGTTTGAGTCCCTCTTCTGTTTCATGGGAGAAAGATGAGGTTTTCTGCTCCTGCAAAGAATTTTAAAAGCTTCAGAAATCCTATGCAGGGTGTCTGTAAGTTAGAACTGACTCAAAGACACTTAACAACAACAACATGTTTATCTTGGAGTCCTAGTGTGGTGCTGTAAGATAAGCACTGGACTCCTAACCTTAAAGTCATTGGTTCAAACCCACAGACCCTATGCAGGATTGCTATGATTCAGAACCTACTCAACAGGACTTACTAACAAAAACAATGTTCACCATGCAGATTTAAGTACCTGTATCACACTTCAACTCATGTATTTCAGTCACAATAACTCCTGAATAACTTTCTATTATGTGATGACCAGTAACATAAGTGTGTTGGGCTGTATCTGGCAGATTTAAGCAGTTGGTCCTTATATATTAAGAGGTATACTTTAGCAGGTGTACCCCCCAATACCTCTGGTAGCTTTCTGCTACTGCCCCACAAACCTCCAATAACTTAACCTATTAATCAGATAAGGGAAGAAAGGAAATAAAAGATTAAGTTTGTATCTTCTTTAATCCAGAAAATAGTTCATTTAGTAAGTAAAGTCTGTCTTCCTTGAGCATTGTGTGACATCAGATTTACAACAGCAACTAGAAAGGTTAGATAAGAAATTCAGAGGACAGTGAGGTTAAGTCAATGGTGGCAGAACAATTTGGAAAAAGATGACAAGAAAGTTTTCACAACTTGAAGAATGTAATTAGTGTCACTGAGTTGCACTTGTAGAAATCAATGAAATAGTGTTTGGCTGGGTAATCACCAAAAATTTTTAAATTGTAAAAAAATAATTTTTTTTAAATTAACTTCATGATTTTTTTAAAAAAAGATACAATAAAACATAAATCTGATCTCAAATCTTGGTGCTCAGACAAGACTGTTTGGTGGCATAGTGTCACATGGCAGAGGAGCTCAAGTTGGGCCACAATATGCAACTCCCTAAACCTAAAAAGAAATGGTTGCTGTCCAGCTATTTCAAGAGGTAGTATATGATCAAGAGTCAATGAATAAAGAAGTCCAAGGTGCACTGAAAACATTAGCAAATAACAAGGCTCCACAAATTGATGGAAACACAAATTGAAGTCCTTCAATAAACTGATGCAGCATTGGAGGCTCTCATCTATGCCAAGAAATCAGGAAGACAACTATCTGGAGAACTGACTGGCAGAGGTCCATATCTGTGCCCATTTCAAAGAGAGGTGACCCAACAAAATGCAGAAACCACTGAACTATATCATTAATATCACATGCAAGTAAAATTTTGCTACAGATAATTCAAAAATGACTGTAACAGTACATTGACAGGCAACTTTCAGTTTCAAGCTGGATTCAGATGAAAGCGTGGAACAAGGGATGTCATTGCTGTTGTCAGAGAAGCTTTCAACTGTGTGGATCATGGCAAGCTGTGGAAAACATTGCGGAGAATTCGTATTTCAGAACACTTAATTGTGCTCATGAGGAACCTGTGAATAGACCATGAAGCAGTCATTTGAACAGAACAAGGGGACATTGAATGGTTTAAAATTAGGAAAGGTGTGTGCCAGGGTTGTAGCTTTCATCATACTTATTCAATCTGTATGCTGAGCAAATAATGCCCTAAACTGGATTATATGAAGAATAGTGTGGCATCAGGATTGGAAGACTCATTAACAACCTGCAATATGCAAAATGATACATACACCCTTGCTTGCTAAAAGAGAAGAGGACTTAAAGTACTCACTGATAAAGATCAAAGACCACATTCTTCAGTATTTTTGTAAAGACAAAAATCCACACAACTGGACTAATAAATAACATCAAGATAAATGGAGAAAAGATTGAAGCTATCAAGGACTTCATTTTACTCAGATCAACCATCAACACTCATGGAACACAAGACCTCTTTAAATTGTTGAAGAGCAGAGATGTCATTTTGAGGACTAAAGTGAGCCTCACCCAAGCCATGGTATTTTCAATAACCTCATATGCATGCGAAAGCTGGACAGTGAATAAGGAAGACCATAAAATAATTGATGCTTTTGAGTTATGGTATTGGTGGAGAATATTTAAAGTATCATGAACTACCAGAAGGACAAACAAGTCTGTATTGAAAGAAACACAACCAGAATGCACCTTAGAAGCCAGAATGGCCAGACTTTGTTTCACATACTTCAGACATATTATCAGAAGGGACCAGTCCCTGGAGAAAGACATCATTCTTGGTAAAGTGGAGGGTGAGTGAAAAAGAGGAAGACCCCTAATGAAATGGAATGGCACAGTGACAGTAGCAACGGCTCAAGCATAGCAACGATTGTGAGGTTGGCACAGGATTGGGCAGCATTTCGTTCTGTGGTGCATAAGGTCTCTATGACTCTGTACCAACTTGACAGCGCCTAACAAAAGCAATAAACTGAAAATGGAGTCCTGGTGTGGTGATGTAGGATAGACACTGGACTGCTAACCACAAGCTTGTCTATCCAAACCTCCAGTCACTCTTTGGAAATTATATACAGGGTCGCTATGAGTCAGAACCTACTCAACAGCAACAAGAAATTGAGAAAACTGTTTGTCTCCCTCTAGTTGAACTTTAGGATTTAATATAACTTAAAGCAAACAAGAGTTTACCCAGTTACAAAGATTATGGAGACTTTTCTCTGAGAAGTGTGGTGAGGTGGAACAATATTGCCATATTGTTTATGGCAATAGCAATATCTGCAACAAAATAAAATCAACTTTAAGCTATAGCAACAGGAAATCATACTACTTAGGGAAATGTAACTTTGACCAAATGTTTATTGTTGTTGTTGTTGTTAAGTGCCATCCAGTAGGATCCAACTCATAGTGTCACTATATAGGGTGTCTAAGGAGCAACTGATGAGTTTGAACCACCGACCTTGTGATTCAAAGGACCTTGCAGGCCAGTGCTTATCCTGCAGTGCCATACCAGGACACCAACCAAATGTTTAATATAGTTAATATTAAATTCAGGTCATAAATACTATTAACAAAATGGGTATTTGCCATCATAAAGATTTTCAATTTGACTTCTTACTCTCTTCACAGTTTTCAAGATAATATATATATATCTACATAAACACATGATACAGATAGGTTTTACAATATTTTTACTATAATGACAGAAAAGGGCACATTAAATATGTATACTATTTCAGCTAATATAAATGGTTGCAAATGAAAACCTATATTAAGTAAACTATGTATTTAAAAAGATGTTAGAAAGGCAAATCATTCTGAACTTGGTAAAATGGAGAATCAGTGATTTTTGCTTGTGATTAAAATAATCTCTGCTTTGTTTCTGTTTCAGGGACTTTGAAGGCAATCATATCCATAATTTAAGAAATTTGACTTTTATTTCCTGCAGTAGTTTAACTGTTTTGTAAGTAATGTTTTATCCTTTTTAAGTAATGTAATATCTTTCTAAACAAAATGAGTCATTCATGTGGACACTAGCATAAACATGCATAACAATTCTGGTAAATATTTACTCTCAACTTGAAGTTTTTAGAAAGTGATGTACATGGTCAAAATTGCTGAAGTTCAAACCAAGTGAAAGCACAGATTCACAAATACATGAATTATTACAATGGCACTCTAATAATTGAGACTCACTTTAATGGGAAAACATTCTCATCAGAGATTAAGCATCTGTCCTTGGACCTAAATTTGAGAAGTAGCATAGTGGTTACGAATGGGGCTGCTAATCTCAGGGTCAGCAGTTCGAAACTACCAGCCCTTCCGCGGGAGAAAGATGAGGCTTTCTGCTCCGAGATTTACAGCCTCGGAAACCCTGCACAGGGTCACTGTGAGTCGGAACAGACTCCATGGCACATAACCACCACCAAATTAAAGTGCTAGTCTTTAAATGCATTTACCTTTTGCAAATTATTACTGTAAGCATTGGTTTCTTAATAATTATGAAAAATCATAACCAACATTTTAAAAAGTGCTGCAGAATTCTCAAAATTCTGGAAACAAAATTGTGAAAACTGGTATAAACCTTAGAGTGTTATTGAGTGTAATTTGCCCTTATGCTTTGCTGGCACGTTTTAAATGCACATTGTTTCTTCCATGAAAGCGAAGAAAACTGGGACCCCCTTCAGTATAAAATACAACTGCTTCATTCCTGTTTATTTTCCCAGAACAATGTTTTATTGTGGTTTGCAACTGTGGGTTGTAACGCACAAATGACGGATGAAAGTAATGTAGCAACAGCAATTTAGTATGTCCCGACTAGCGTTTTTTTAACTGAATAGAATTGAATTGAGTACAAAAATACCAAATTGCAGTGCAAATAAATATTGTTTCATGAATATTGGGAATTATAGGTGTGTGTATTGTATGTCTTGATGTGAAATGAATCTTCTACTGTGGGTTGTCTTGGAAAATGTTTGAAAACCATCATTCTAGAGTACATAGGTCAGCTGTGTATAAGCAATGCGGTAATTACCACAGCTATGACAATATATTTGCTCCAATATGCTCCTTCTCCATTTTATTGGGTTCAAGTTATTGACAAATTGGAATCCTTCTGCTAAGAGAGTTCAGAAACTTTCAGATACAGAGTGCTTTCTATTAGTCATGCAAAAGAGCTCATGAAATGGTTGAGCAGCATGATGAATAGAGTTAATTTCTCTGAACTGTCCATGTGAAGACTATTGAAATAACAAACATCTTGAAATGTTAAAAAAAAAAAAAAAAAAAAAGCTCAGACTTCAAGTCAAAATGTGCCTAAAAGACACAGATCAAATAGATAATCTGAAAAAAATTAGAATTTCATTGTTTCCTATTTCTATTTATTTTTAAGGAAATCTTTGTATAAAAAAATTTTGTATTTCTGCACATATTTAAATATCTTTAAATGTTGTTGTTGTTAAGTGCCCTCCAGTCGGTTCAGACCCATAGCGACCCTGAACAGGGTTTACGAGGCTGTAAATCTTTACGGGAGCAGAATGCCTCCTCTTTCTCCCACGGAGCGGCTGGTAGTTTCGAACTGTTGACCTTGTGGTTAGCAGCCTGATTCGTAACCACTACGCTACTAGAGCTCCATTAGGTACATAAATTTCAGGAGCAATACATAAGTAACTTAATAGTAGTTTGTTTTTGGAAGATTGAAAACTTTGGTGTAAGAATTAGTGTCTTTTGTTTTATGCCCTCGCCAGACTGCAAAGCCATTTGAACTGCAAGGTCAGTGGTTCAAGCTCACCAGTAGCTCCTTGGAAACCCTATACAGGGTCGCCATTGAATCAGAACCTACTCAATGGCACTTCCAACAACAACAACATGTGATATAAACACAGGGTCGCTATGGGTCGGCATCGACTCTACAGCACTTAACAACAACAACAACATGTGATATGAATTGTTGTTCAGCTTTGTTTTTTTTGTTTTGTTTTGTTACCATGAGCAGGTGTTATTTTGTAATAAAAATAATGTTGAGTACATTTTTCATCTTAGGCAAAAAAAAAAAAAAGAGAGAGAGAGAGAGAGACAGACAGAAAGAAATCATTTGTGGGTTTCCTCTTGCCAGGTGTGTGGATTTTTTTGATAAAAGGACATTGAAGGGAGGTCGTAATGTTTTAGATTGTTGAGATAAATTAAGTACTTAAAGATGGGACAAGGTCAACTTCTAGGCATGTCACAAAATATTTAAAGTGGAAACCCATTTAAACTATTGTACGAGTTAATCCTTCGTACTAGGACAGAAATGAATCATACTGTCAAAATTCACAGTCTGATGCCACTTCCCAAACTGGAGATGTTCTGAATTGGTCCAACTTAGACTGGAATTCTTCAGGGAGCACCACCAAAAATTATTAAATCACATCTAATGACTATGCATGTTATGGCATGTATGGTATTTTGTTAGACAGACATGTGCTACGCTGACTAAAAAGGAGACTCTAAAGAGCCCCAGTCATGATATTCATGATTCAGTCTACATTTGCAAGAATTGTGGTTTCACTCTTTCCATTGCAAAGTTTTACCCTATGAACTTAACAGTTTGAATTATATTTTATTTTTATCATCATTTTATGATTGGGGAAATAAAAGATTAAAATTAACTTGGATCATTTCTCATATTACTCCAACGTATCTTGTTGTGAAAAGTACAGTGTATATAATTATCTCTGTTTTGGAAGACTGTTAATCTTTTCCTGGAAGTCCTGGTGTGGCGCTGCAGGATAAAGCACTGGACTGCAAGGTCAGTTTGAACCATAAGGTCAGAGGTTCAAACTCACCAGCTGCTCCTTGGAAACCATATACAAGATAGCTATGAGTCAGAACCAACTGAACAGCATTTAAAAACAACAGCACTTAACAACTAATAACTCAAGAAGTATCAATTACCTCAAGAAGTCACAATGTGTCTTTTTTTGTTTTGTTTTGTGTTTTTACAATTTCAGGATAATGCGGAAAAATAAAATTAATCACATACATGAAAATACTTTTACATCTCTCCAGAAACTAGATGAATTGTAAGTTTTATTAAATATTTATCATGTAGATTTTTTGCTTTATTACTTTTTTCATATTTATTATGCAGATAATAAGCTTTTTATACATTTAAGAAATATTATCCTTATTTTATCAAGCATTATTTTTGTCATCCTTGGCTGATGCCACCTTGAGTCAGAATTGGCTTGATGACAACTGGTGGTTTTAGGCTAAAAAGATTTCCAGATAGCTTATAAAGATATAAATAAAATAAAATTATAAATATTTGAGGGAAATATGGTAAAGGAAACAAATTTGAGGGAAGTAAAGTCAACTTCTGTGTGGCCTTTCTAGGACCAGCAGTGGACTGCAATCCACAAGGTAAGCAATTCAAACCCAACTCTGCTCTTTGGAAACCCTATACAAGGTTGCTATGAGTTAAAACTGACTTGATGGCATTTAGCATCAGCAACTAAGTAAAATAACAGAGGCATAGTATATTTAATATATAAAATGCATCCTACTCCAGTCTGTCCTACTGATAGTTGTTATTGTTGTTGTTATGTGCTGTGGATTCAGTTCCAACTCATAGTGACCCTGCACAGGGTTTCTGAGGCTGTAAATCTTCACAGGAGCAGAAAGCCTCATCTTTCACCTGTGGAACAGCTGGTAGTTTTGAACTGCTGACCCTGAGGTTAGCAGCCTGATTCGTAACCACTAAGCCATGAGAATGCCTTAGAACCTTAGAACCTTAGAATTCAGAGATGACGAATCATTGATTTATTGGCTATGGAAAGGTTTTCAACTGTATGGATGTGACAAGTTATGGACAACACTAAAGAAAATGAGTATTCTGGAACATTTATATGTACTCATGAAGAACCTGTACATAAACCAAGAGGCAGTTGATCAAACAGAACTGGGGGCACTGAATGGTTTAAAATCAGGAAAGATGTGCTCCACGGTTGCATTCTTTCATCATACTTATCCAATATGTATGCTGAGCAAATAATCTGAGAAATGGGATTATATAAAGAAGAACATGTCATCAGGATTGGAAGAAAGCTCATTAACAGCTTGTGATATGAAGATGATACACCCCTGCTTGCTGAAAGCAAAAAGGACTTAAAATACTGATGAAGATCAAAGACTACAGCCTTCTGTATACGTTGCACCTCAATGTAAAGAAAACAAAAATCCACACATCTGGATCAATAAATAACATTATGATAAATGGAGAAAAGACCAAAGTTGTCCAAGACTTCATTGTGCTTGGATCCACCATCAACACTCATAGAGGCAGCAGTCAAGAAATCAAATAACGTATGATATGAAGAAAATATGCTACATTGTTGTTAAGTTGTTAAGTGCTGTCGAGTCGGTTCCGACCCATAGCAACCCTGAACAGGGTTTCCAAGGCTGTAAAGCTTTATGGGAACAGAAAGCCTCATCTTTCTCCCATGGAGCAGGTGGTAGTTTTGAACTGCTGACCTTGCGCTTGGCAGCCTGATTCGTAGCCACTACACTACCAGAGCTCCATGCTACATAAGACCTCTTTAAAGTGTTAAAGAACAAAGATACCAGTTTAAGTACTAAGTGCACCTGACCCAAACAATGATATTATCAATAGACTCATATGCATATGGAAGTTGGATAGAGAATAAGGAAGACTGTAAAGAATTGATGCATTTGAGTCATGGTGTTGGAGAAGAGTATTAGAAGTACCATGGACTCTCAGAAGAACAAACAAATCTGTGTACAACCAGAATCCTCCTTAGCCAAGATGATCAGACTGTCTCTCACACTTCAGAAGGGTCCAGTCCCTCAAGAAGTACATCATGCTTCTTGATGTACTTGATGGAGAGACAGAAAAAGAAGACCCCCAATGAGATGGATTGGTACAGTGGCAGCAACAATGGTATCAAGCATAGCAGCAATTGTGAGAATAGCACAGGACCAGGGAGTCTATCGTTCTGTTGTACACAGGTTCACTATGAGTAGGAACTGACTCAATGACACTTAACAACAACAAGATAAAAAGGAACCACCTGAATGATTCTGAAACAAAAGGATAATCTCTTCTCTAAATCCTTATGGAAATCAGAAACTGTCATGAGTAATTGTTGTTGTTGTTAAGTGCCTTCGAATTTATTCTGACTCATAGCAACCCTGTGTGGGGTTTCTGTGGAGCAGCTGATGAGTTTGAACCAATAACTTTGCATTCAAACCAAACTTGTGGCCCAATGCTTATCCTACAGTGCCACACCAGGACTCCATATCCTCCCCTTAATAATAGAAGAGACCATTCAAACAGCTATTTTTATAGTATCCTTTTTGTAACATAATTTCTTAAAAACGAGGATGTTGAGACTTCGTCTCATGTACTTTGAACATGTTATCAGAAGGGACCAATCCCTAGAGAAGGGCATCATTCTTGGAAAAGTGGAAAGTCAGTGAAAAAAAGAGGAAGACTCCCAACGGGATGGATTAACACAATAACAACAACAATGGACTGAACATAACCGTTGTGAAGATGGTGCAGGATCGGGTAGTGTTTCACTATGAGTCAAAAGTAACTCAGTCTCTAACAACAATAAGAACTGCTAGAATAAAATATATAGTGAACAAGGGATGGCGAGCATATTTTTCAGGCAATTTTTACATTTTCATTATTAGTCTCCAATTGGGTTTTTGGTAAAGTTTGACTAGAAACTAGTTTGATTTTGTGTTCTCTGCAAAGATTCTGAGATGTGGATCAAGCCATATGTTTGGGCAACCTGTATGCGAAGCACTGATTTATTAAAAATATCGTCAAAAAAATTAAAGAACAAAAGTTCTCCTCTGACCATTGAAACCTCAATATTTTTTTCCATAAGGATTTTAGCCTGAAACACTTTTTGGTAGGCAGTCCTGGTGTGGTGCTGTGGGTTAATGCATCAGACTGCAAAGCCATTTGAACTGCAAGGTTGGTGGTTCAAGTTCACCAGCTGCTCCTCAGAAACACTATACAGGGTTGCTATGTGTTGGAACTGACTCAACAGCACTAAACAACAACAAAAACAAAAAATCCACACCCACAGAAAAATATCCATAGAGATTAGAACCAAGCAGTTTGTGACAACAGCAACAACAAAAAAGAACATTTGCCAACAAGTCAACTCCAACACATGTGTCAGAGTAGAACTTTGCTCCTTGGTGTTTTCAATGGCTGGTTGTTTTGAAGTAGATCTCCTCGACTTTCTTCTGAGGTGCTTCTGGGTAGACTCAGGCCTAAAACTTTTTGGTTAGTAGCTTAATTATTTGTAATACCCAGCTACTCCTTTGTGGCAATAGCTCCTGGTATGTGACAATTATATCATCAATAAATATGAAGTTACTTTGTTCTCACTAGTAGGGAGAGGTGATCCAAAAGTATGGTCCAGTCACAAAACATGAGTTTCTCAAGGGATCCATACTTTCCCTAGTTTTATCCAACTTGAAGTCACTATCTGAATATCAAATGACAATTCCTCTACATTCTGACCTAGGTGACCGAAAGGTGCAGATTTTATGAGTATCAGTAATCAGCTGTGAACATGGAATATAAATAAATTGCTAATATGGTAAAAGAAAAGATTTATAAAAAAAAAAAAAAAGCATCTACCATTCATCTGTCTGTTTGTTATACTGTTTGGTGACTTACATGTGCTATAATGCTGGAGGCTATGCCATTGGTATTTCAAATACCAACAGGGTCACTCATAGTGGACAGATTTTTGGCAGATGTTCTAAACTAAAACAAACTAGGGAGAAGAAACAGGCAGTTCACTTACGAAAAATTAGCCACTGTAAACCTTATGAATAGCAGCTGAATATTATTTGATATAATGCCAAAAGATGATCATCTCAGGTTGGAAGACACTCAAAATACAACTGTGGGAGGTCTGCCTCCTCAAAGTAAACTCAATCTTTATAATGTAGTCAGAGGAGGGGAACCTTTTTTCTTCCCAGGGCAATTTGGATATTTATAACATCATTCATTTGTTGTTGTTGTTGTTGTTAAGTGCCGTTGAGTCGGTTCCGACCCTTAGCGACCCTGTTTAACCATACTAATTATCAATGTAAAAATTAGCCTGCTATATTTGGTCAAACATTTAATTAACTCCACCCTAATGTGATAGTTGGAACTTCAGTTGCCTTGGCAGGGCAGGACCAAATTATTTCACATGTCGTATATGGCCCATGGATCAGACATTTCCCATGCCTGAAGCAGAGCTTGTGGGGCCTTCATCTGATGATGGTGCATGACACAAAATGAGAAGAAAGAGCTGCAAACATCTATTAGTAATCAAATCAGATTGAATCCAGGAAAATTGGAAGTCCTCAAAAATGAAATGAAGTACATAAAAATCAATACATCTTAGACATTAGTGAGCTGACATGGACTGGTTTGGTCTATTTCAAATCAGATAACTATATGCTGGGAACAACAAATTGAAGAGTAATAGCATCCCATTCATCATTAAAAGAACAAGTCAAGATCTGTTCTGAAATACAATGCTGTCCATAATAGCGTAATATTCATACACCTCCAAGGAAAACCAGGTAATATGACTATTATTCAAATTTACACACAAACCACTAATGCTAAAGTTGAAACAATTAAAGATTTGGCCAACTTCTAAAGTCTAAAATTGATCAAATATAAAATCAAGATGTATTGATATGGTAATTGGAATGAGGAAGCTAAGGGGACAAAAACAAAGGCTCATCAGTTGAAAAATATGGCCTTGGTGCTGATACATTTTTGCAAGACCAAAGACATTCATTGCAAATACCTTTTTTCAACAATATAAAATTGCTGTTAAACATAGAATAGAATAGCTAAAGTGAAAGGAATAATTTGTTAAGAAGACAAAGTATTATAATGAAATGTGCAAGAATCTGGAGCTAAGAAATCAAAAGGGAAGAAAATGCTCCAAATTTCTCAACCTGAAAAAAACTGTAGAAAATATTCAAACCTCTAGTTGCAATACTGAAGGATTCTATGAACAAAGTATTGAATGATGCAAGAAGCATCACTAGAAGATTAAAAGAATACACAGTCACTGTACCAAAAAGAATTGGTCAATGTTCAATCATTTCGGGATATAGAATGTTATCAAGAACTAATAGTATTAAAGGGAGAAGCCCAAGTTGGACTGAGTCATTGATGAAAAACAAGCCTCCTGAAATATCAAGTAAGATGTTTCAGTAAAATCATCTATGACAAGAGATTTGGGTGGCAGCTTCCTGGTCAACTGACTGAAAGAGAACCACACATTTATCTATAATCCTAAGAAATGTGTTCCACAAGAATGCAGAAATCATTGAATGGTTAATATCACATGCAACTAAAATTTTGCTGAAAATAATTCAACATTTGCAGCAGTACATCAAACCAGGGAACTGTCAGAATTCAAGCTCTATTCAAAAGAGAATATTCAATGAGATGAATCCTAGCTGAAACTAGAAAATAACAGAAAGATGTTTGCCTGTATTTCATTGACTATAGAAAAGCATTTGATTGTATGGATCCTAACTAGTTTAAAATCAGGAAAGGTATGCATGTTGGTGATATCCTTTCACTATACATATTCAATCTGTATGCTGAGCAAATCATCTGAGAAACTGGACTATATGAAGAATGTGACATCATGATTGGAGGAAGATTCATTAACAACCTGTGATATGCAGACAGTACTACTTTGCTTGTTGAAAGTGAAGAGGATTTGAAACATTTAATGATGAAGATCAAGATTAAAGTCTTCAGTATGGACTATACCTCAACATAAATTACCCACTGTCATTGAGGCAATTCTTATTTATAGCAAGCCTATATAGGGTTTCTGAGACTGTAAATGTTTAAGGGAACAGATCATTTCATCTTTCTCCAATGGAAAATCTGGTTTGAACTGTGACCTTGCAGTTAGTAGCCCAAGACCTAACCCACAGTGCCACCAGAGTACCTTTCAACATAAATAAAAAAAGCAAAAATTCTCACAACTGGAGAAATAAGCAACATTATGATAAACAGAGAAGAGATTGAAGTTGCCAAGGAATTCATTTTACTTGGAAGCATAATCAACATCCAAGGAATCAACAGTTAAGAAATAAAATTCTGTATTACATTGGGCACATCTGCTGCAAAAAAACCTCTTTAAAGTCTTTAAAGTGTAACTTTGAGGACAAAGTTGTGCCTGACTTAAGCCATGGTATTTTTAATCTCTTCATATGTAAGCAAGAGCTGGATAATGAATAAGGAAGACCAGAGAATAATTGGTGGCTTTAAGTTATGATGTGTTGAAGACTATATCATGGGCTGAAAGAAGAATAAGCAAATCTGTTGGAAAACATATAGCCAGAATGCTCCTTAGAAGACAACATAGTGAGACTTTGTCTCACATACTTTGGGCATGTTATCAGGGGAGAACATTCCCTGGAGAAGAACATCATGATGCTTGTTCAAGTAGTTCTCTTATACACAGGGTTGCTATAAGTTGAAACCAACTCAATGGCACCTAACAACACAACACCAAAGCCAATTAAATCCCATATTAGACACTTATTTTTGATAAGTTCCGTAAAGTCATTTCAGACTCATACTGACCCTATATAGAGTTTCCTAGGAGCAGCTGGTGAGTTTGAACCTCTGACCTTGTGGTTCAAACTGATATTGTGGTAGAGTGCTTATCCTACAGCAACATACCAGGACTCCATGATAAACACAAGTCTGAACAAATAAACTTTTCAAGGATAAAAAATGGTATGTATTCAAAGAGGATGGCTTTTAATAGATAGGTCTAGATTTAAAAAACAAAGGCAATGGACCTTTAAGAAAGGATTTGATCTCACCAGTATAATTAATGAGAACAAATAAGTTTTCAATAATCAACCATCAACACTCATGAAAGCAGCAGTCAAGAAATCAAACAACATATTGCATTGGGCAAATCTGCTTCAGACGACCTTTTTAAAGTGTTGAACAGCAAAGATATCAGCTTGAGGACTAAGGTGTTCCTCACCCAAGTCATGGTATTTTCAATAACCTCATATGCATGCGAAAGCTGGACAGTGAATAAGGAAGACCATAGACAAATTGATGCTTTTGAGTTATGTGTTTCAGGAGAATATTCAAAGTACCATGGGCTACCAAAAGAACAAACAGATCTGTTTTGGAAGAAGTGCAGTCAGAGTGCTCCTTGGAGGCCAAGATGACCAAACTTCGTCTCTCATACTTCGGACATATTGTCAAGGGGGACCAGTTTCTGAGGAAGGGTATCATGATTGGTAAGGTGGAGGATCAGAGAAAAAGAGGAAGACCCGCAGTGAGATGGATTGGCAAAGTGGCAGCATCAATGGGATCAAGCATGTCAACAATTGTGAGGTTGACCCAGGACCAGGCAGTGTTTCATTCTGTTGTGCATAGGGTCACTATGAGTCAGTACCGACTCGATGGTACCTAATAATACCAACAACAATTGGAAATAGAAGGAATATTTAGTAAAAAACTAAGCTAGTTACATGTGTACAGGAACAACTTTAGTAAAATGTTATACGATTATGTGCTATACGTCATATATGCTAAATAGAAGTATACAAAAGAAGTACATGGGAGAACAGAGGAGAAACCATGTAACCTCCCTGAACATAAGAGGTCTCACAAAGGAACAACATGTGAGCAGATCTTGAAGGATATATAGGAGTTCGCTAGAAAGTCAAGAAACAAATGTTATTATAACCAGAGGGTAGAATCCATGTAAACGCATGGAGATGCGTTCAGGTAAGCTCATCTTGACTAAGTCAAAAGCTTTAGGAAATGGTGTTTAAAAGATACACAGTGGTAAGATAGGTACTTAAAGACTGTTTGTGCCTCACTAACCAGTTCTGATTTAATCTGTGAGTGACAGTGAGCTATGGAAGGATTTTAAGAAGAGGATAAAATTTTAGAAAGATTCCTCTTATGGCCAAATGAAAACAATGTATCTTCCTAGACAAATTTCCTACGAATATGAAAATAGCATTAAATTAGCTTCAAGAATCAAATATTAAAATACAACATCTACAGGAAAGTTGTTTGTAATATCATATTTTATCCATCACTCATTTTTAGTTTTCAAAGCTTAATCTAATTGGCTACCTAAACTGGGAGGGATTTAAAGGCATGAAGTGACTGGTTTACAATTTTTCAAGAGGTAGTTTAGTTCCAGAGCAAGGGGAGAAAGGTAGAAACCCTACTGAACAGCTTTCATCTTGTTTAGATGGTTCTGGTGAAAAGAGATAGGGATAGGATTCTTTTGATTCAGTAGTGAGTAATTATTATCATGACTAATTGCGATTGTCACAAGTGGAAAGGTAGAAGTTGTATAACAAAAAGGGGGGAGTAGTTAATCTTAAACATTCCAGAAACAGAGGACCCTAGCACCAGCAAGAGAGAAGAGTATGAGTGGAAAATGGGATCCTAACCAGAGAAGCAGTGACACCAGAGATGGAGGCAGAGATGATGGCATAGAGAGATCGAGCAGCTGAGGACTCTAGACTCATGTAAAGAGAAAGGCTGTGTGCTGGCGAGCAGGAGGCTGGCTTTCAAATGTGCCTTTTGGTTATTTAAATAATTATATATTCCTGAGTGTTTTCGTGTACACACACACACAAAAAAAAAAACAAGAATAGACTCAAATACTGTTAACCTATGGTGCATGAAGGGGATGGTAATTATTGCAATGAACAAAATACAATTAGTTTAATGCAAAACCAATGTTCTGCTATGAAAACTATCACTCAATTCACAATAAAAGCTTAAAAAAAAACTCAATCTAAAATTATTCTTCTCTTTTAAATAATCTAACTATGACTCATATAAACAATTTTGTTTGTGTAACAAATGGGTATATTCTCCTACCTGGCTCTGAAGTAACTAACTGAATTCAGACATGTGTGGAGTGGGTAGTTAGGTTTCAGCTAGTATTTCTTGATTCCTTTAAAGAGATCAAAAGTGTATAGCTTCAAACCCATAGAAAGTTTATATTGTTTAGAAAAATTGAAGGCCTTTCTCACAGAGTTGTTGATATGCTTAAAGAACTGCTACTCTCAAAAAAATCTTACAACTAGGCTACAAAATCACACTAGGTTAGGCAGCCTGACCTGTATAAAAAGTATTTTGTCATTAGGAGTATATTATATCCTGTGTATACCAGCTTTGAGTAAGTTGCACATGAAATCATCCATGCTTAATAATCATAATAAACCTAAGTAAAATAAAATATTTAAGACCCCCAAAGTATATTCCTATTCCAAGACAGACGGAAAGAAGAGAGTATAACTCACCAATAGTGTTATTAGAAAATTGTATAATGGCTTACTAATGATTTTCAAAACAATGCATAATGTCTTTAGAAAATAATATGACAGATTTGCAATTATTTCCCTAGGGATTTAGGAAACAACGAGATTGAAAATCTTCCACCACATGTATTTAAAGATCTGAAGGCGCTTTCGCAATTGTAAGTCTGATACCAATTTCTCGACTTCATTTCTTGTGTACAATTCATTTTTCATTGTCATCCTTCCTCTCTTTTCTTCTTTCTGTAGTCGTCTCCTCGCCTGCAACTCCTTTTATCCCCCACCTAGCAAACAGTTGAATCTACAATCAATTTCTTAAAAAGAAAACTCACCCTGGCAAGTTCCCTTTAATCAATGTTCTTGTCAAAGATTCTGAAATTTTCTTCCCTTAAATTCAATTGTATTGTCACTCTGATCTATGACTTTTACTTTTACTTTTTACATGCCTCACAAATCACGAGTGCAGTATGTCACTCCTTGTTTTGAACTTTATTCTTAAAAAAAATAAAATAAATTAGGTGTGATTCTATCGATTCAAATGTTGGCTAACTAATATTCTTTTTATTTTATTTAAATCACATCTGGTTTCAGGCAAAATGTGAAGTAGATGTGACTTCTCTTTGGGTACCCTGCACTTGTCTGGTGGAAGTTCTTTTAACATCTCTCCCTTCATACTCATGTCATCTTAGCTCTTTCACATGTACAATCATAGAGTACTTACTAAGAGCCAGCACTGCTTTGTTCCATCCATAACTCATATAAATGTTTAATCAGATCCATGAGACAAGTGCTATTACTATACTTTGTTGGAAGTTTTTAAAAGAAATAACCCAAAGTCAACAAATACACTTTCTCTTCATTCAGGCAACTTCTAATTTCTAACGACCCATTGTCAATCTTTTTTTGAAAAAAAAAAAAAAACAAACAAACAGGAATCTTTCCTATAACCCAATCCAGAAAATTGAAGAAAACCAATTTGACTATCTTGTCAAACTCAAGTCTCTGTAAGTATATACCTAAGGAGGAATTCTTGTAACTAATCGTTTTCTAAATGCTAATGAGGAGTCATGGTGTTTCAGTGACTAAGCACTCAGCTGATAACCAAACTAGCTGCTCCATGGGAACAAGGTGTGGTAGTCTGCTTCCATAAAGATTGTTGTTGTTGTTGTTGTTGTTGTTGTTGTGTGCCATGGAGTTGGTTCCGACTCATAGCGACCCTGCATAGGGTTTCCGAGGCTGTAAATCTTTACGGGAGCAGAAAGCCTCATCTTTCTCCCACGGAACAGCTGGTAGTTTTGAACTGCTGACCTTGTGGCTCGCAGCCCGATTCGTAACCACTACGGTACCAGAGCTCCTTTTTCCATAAAGATTACAGTCTTTGAAATGTTAAGGGGTAATTCTACTCTGTCCTATAGGGTCTCTATGAGTTGAAATCAACTCAATAACGATGATTTTGTTGTTTTTTAAAAAATACAAACCACTAATTTTTATTTATTGTTGTTGATGTTGTTAGGTGCCATTGAGTTGGTTCTGAATCATAGTGACCCTATGCATAACAGAGCAAAACATTGCCCAGTCATGTGCCAACCTAACAAGCATTGCTACACTTGAGCCCATTGTTGTTGCCACTGTGCCAATCCATCTCATTAGGGGTCTTCCTCGTTTTCTCTGACCCACCACTTTATCAAGCATGATATCTTTCTCCAGGGACTGGTCTCTCCTGATAATATGTCTGAATTTTGAGAGACGAAGTCTCAGCAACATGGCTTCCAAGGAGCAGCTGGCTGTACTTCTTCCAACCAGAGTTGCTTGTTCTTTTGGCAGTCCATGGTACTTTTAATAGTCTCCTAAAACACCCTAACTCAAATGCATCAATTTTTCTATGCTCTTGAACTTTCATATGCATATGAGGTTATTGAAAATGCCTTGGTCAGGCGCACCTTAGTCCTCAAACTGACATCTTTGCTCTTCAACACTTTAAAAAGATCTTGTGCTGCAGATTTGTCATTTGATTTCTTGACTGCTAATTCTATGAGTGTTGATAGTTTATTCGAGCAAAATGAAGTCTCTGAAACGTCAATCTTTCCTCCAATTATCTTGATGTTGTTTATTGGTCCAGTGGTGAGGATTTTTATTTTATTTATACCGAGGTGCAAGGCTGTGGTCTTTGATCTTCATCAGTAAGTATCTTAAGTCCTCTTCGCTTTCAGCATCATCTGCTGAAAAGTTGTATCATCTGCATATCACAGACTGTTAATGAGTCTTCCTCTGATCCTGATGCCACCTTCTTCTTCATATAATCCAGTTTAGGGGAGTATTTGCTCAGCACACAGATTGAATAAGTATGGTGAAAGAATACATTCCTAATGCACACTTTTCCTATTTTTAACCCATTCAGTGTTCCTTTCTTCTGTTCAAGCAACTGCCTCTTGCTCTGTGTACAGGTTCCTCGTGAGCACAATCAAGTGTTCCAGATTATCCATTGTCCACAATGTTGTCCATAGTTTGTCATGATCAACACAATCGAAAGTCTTTGCATAGTCAATAAAGCACAGGTAAACATCTTTCTGGTATTCTCTGCTTTCAGCCAAGATTCATCTGCTGTCAGCAATGATATCCCTCATTGCACGTCTTCTGAATCCAGCTTGAACCTCTGGAAGGTCTCCGTCAATGTACTGTTCCAGCTGTTTTTGTATTATCTTTAGCAAAATTTTACTTGCATGTAATATTAATATATTGTCCGATGGTTTCTGCAATGGGTACACATATGGATCTTTTCCAATCAGTTGGCCAGGTAGCTGTCTTGCAAACTTCTTAGTACAGATGAGTGAGTGCCTCCAGTGCTGCCTCAGGTTGTTGAAAGATTTCTATTTGTATTCCATTCACTTTTATGAGCTCTTTCAAATCAGAAACTTCCCAGGACAAATTTTCTTCCCAAGATAAATGCTTGCTGGACTTAAAGAAAAGCAAACCGCTGTTCTTTTTATTTTATGTACTTATAAACTAAAAATTAAGTAATGGAGGTTCATTTTACAATTTGCTATGTGTCACCAGGAGCTTACATTGGTTTGCTCTCTTAGATCCTCTGAAGGCATTTTGCATATTCACTCTTCAATTAGCATAAAGTACCTAACCCTAGACTATGGTGGTAGTGGTGGTTGTTGTGCAGTCAGTTTGGACTTGTGGTAACCCTGTATAGGGTTTCCAAGGCTGTAAATCTTTACGGGAGCAGAAAGTCTCATCTTTCTCCTGTTGTTGTTGTTAAGTGCTGTTGAGTAGATTCCAACTGATAGCAACCCTGTATAGGTTTCCGAGGAGCAGCTGGTGAGCTTGAGCCACCGACCTTGCAGTTCAAACAGCTTTGCAGTCTGGCACATTTACCCACAGTGCCACACCAGGACTCCTAGAGAACAATAAATTATAAACATCCTTAACCTAAGATAGAATAGTTTAAATGATGCAAATCATAAAAGTTCTACTAATTATAAGAATTTCTTTTTTTTTTTAAGTATTCATTCTTTCAATTTAAGTATTCTATCAATTAAATATCAATTAAATGGCTTTCATTAGAAAAAACTTCATTATTTTTAATCATAGAAAAATTCAAAGGGTAGCATGTAGGATAAGCACTGGACCACTAGGTCGGTTTGAGCCACAAGGTTGGCAGTTCAAACTCATCAGCTGCTCCTAGAAAGCCCTATACATGGCTACTAAAAGTCATAACTGCCTCAGTTGCACTTAACAACAACAATAATTGTACAAGGGGACTTAAAAAAGTTTGTGGGAAAAATCCATTATCTCTTCATTCCATTTTCCATGAACTTTTGAAACCTCCTCATTGTTGTTGTTAGGTGTCATCTAAGCTTACTCTTAGCATCATGCAAAATATAATGTTTCTTCATTATACAAATATTTATTAAGTAGTTATATGTTAGGACATCAGGATTGGAAGAAGACACGTTAATAACCTTGGTATGCAAATAACACAACATTGCTTAAGAAGACCACCTTAACCACTTAATGACAGAGGGAAAAGACTGCAGCTTAAACATGAAAAGCCTCACAACTGATGAGCAACATTATAATAAAAGGAGAAATTTTCTAAATTACCACTAGTTTCATTCAACTTGGATCAATATCCATGGAAGTTGTTGCTGTTGTTGTTAAGTGCCGCCGAGTCAGTTCCGACTCATAGTGACCCTGTACAGGGTTTCCAAGGCTGTAAATCTTTATGGGAGCAGAAAGGATCATCTTTCTCCCACGGAGCAGCTGGTAGTTTTGAACTGCTGACCTTAAGGTTTACAGTATGATTAGTAACCACTATGCTACCAGAGCTCCTTGTCCATGGAAGTAGCAGTCAAGAAATCAAATAATGCATTGCACTGGGCAAATCTACTGGTAAAAATCTCTTTAACATTTTAAAAGCAAAATAAGTCACTTTGGCAACTAAGATGCACCTGACCAGAGCCATGATCTTTGCAATTTCTTCACAGACATGCAAAATCTGGACAATGAAACCAAGAAAACAGAAGATAAATCTATGCATTTGAATCTTTAAATTGGTGAAGAATACTGCCAAAAGAACAAACAAATAAGTCATAGACAAAATATAACTAGAATGCTCCTAAAAAGTGAAAATGGCAAGACTTTTATTGCTTAGTTTGAATATGTCGTCAGGAAATATCAATTTCTAGAGAAGAACATCATCATGTTTGGCAGAGTCAGTGAAAATGAGGAAAATGTTCAATGAGATGGCACAACAATGAGTTCAAACATATCAAAGATTATATGGTGTCATTAGACCAGAAAATGTTTCACTGTGTCATACATAAAGTCGTTGTGAGTTGGAGTGGACTGCAGCAACTAATGGTTATTATGTACAAAGCATTGCACCATGACCTGTGCAGTTTTGTTTTGGTTTTAATCAAGTAGGAAAGAAATGTGTTTAAAAATAACAGAATCAAACAGAAGAGAAATTGGGAGAGTTCCTAGGATGGCACATTCTATTCAGAATAAATGTTAATTTGAAGTACTTTATGTAATTGTTTTTATTTTATCATTTTTATAATACCATGTATAACATATGCTATTTACTTTCATTGTTAATTTGATATTTTAGCAGCTTGGAAGGAATTGAAATATCAAATATCCAACAAAAGATGTTTAAACCTCTTAGGAATCTCACCCACATGTAAGTAGATGTTTTTCTAGTTCCTCACCTTGATTTAATCTGTTTTGTATATCTACATGTATTTTTATAACCCAATTCTTCTAATCTACTAATTTTCTAAATTAAAGTTAATTATTAAAATAATTAACTTTTTAACTATGATATTGCAACAGGGTGATTTTTATTTTCCACAATTTGATAGAATCTCATAGGAGATTTTTTTTTTTTTTTCATGTCAGGAAAGATGGGTATGGAGAAAACCCTTCAGTTCTTAAGAAGTTCTCCTCAGCTCTGATATCATATATCTCTATTTGACTAGATAACCAGTAATTTGTAAACCTTGTGTAAGTGCTACTGAACAAAGGAGTGGAAATTTATATGGTGGTGGTGGTGGTTATGTGCCATGGAGCTGGTTCTGACTCATAGCGACCCTGTTATAGGGTTTCCAAGGCTGTAAATCTTTAAAGGAGCAGAAAGCCTCATCTTTCTCCTGCAGAACCACTGGTAATTTCAAACTTCTGACTGTGAGATTTGCCGCCTAACTCATAACCACTATGCTACCAGAGCTCCTTAGAAGTTGATATGTTGTTGTTGTTGTTGTTAAGTGCCGTTGAGTCGGTTCCGACCCATAGCGACCCTGTACAGGGCTTTCGAGGGTGTAAATCTTTACGGGAGTAGAAATAAGTAATATAAAATAATTAGAAATGATTGCTGTAAATGAAGGAAAGCAGAGAGCAATCCTCCTCAGGGTAAATGGTCCCCAGTATTGGTCAGGTGTCTAATCAAGTGTGCATGGATAGAATGGCAACCATTTAAAGTTCTCTTATTCAAAGAATGCGTCTGATTGTACCATTGATGACATTTAGAAATACTTTCTTTAATAGAATGCTATTTTATAGCAGATACTATAATGACCCCCATATCATGGTAATTAATTCTCAGTAACGTAGAAAGAATCATGTCAGCAATCCACTCTGTAATATTTCTTACATTTTAACACAAGGCACTCCATCTTTGCTTTCCATGATTCCTTAGGAGAATGCTTATAAAATGTTCCTTGGTTGTTGTTGTTGTTGTTAGGTGCCATCGAGTCAGTACTGACTCATAGCGACCCTATGCACAACAGAACAAAACACTGCCCAGTCCTTGACTAATCTCACAATTGTTGCCATGCTTGAGCCCATTGATGCTGCCACATTCACAATCCATCTCACTGGGGGCCGTCCTCTTTTTCTCTGACCCTCCACCTTTGTTGTTGTTGTTGTTGTTAAGTACCGTGGAGTCGGTTCTGACTCATAGTGACCCTGCACAGGGTTTCTGAGGCTGTAAATCTTTACAGAAGCAGAACATCTCATCTTTCTCCTGTGGAACGGCTGGTAGTTTCGAACTGCTGACCTTGAGGTTGGCAGCCCAACTCATAATCACTATGCTACTAGAGCTCCTTGACCCTCCACCTTACCAAACATGATATCCTTATCCAGGGACTGGTCCCTCCTGACAATGCGTCCAAAGAATGAGAGATGAAGTTTGGTCATCCTGGCCTAAAAGGAGCACTCTGGCTGCACTTCTTCCAGCACAGATTTGTTTGTTCTTATGGCAGCCCATGGCACTTTCAATATTCTCTTCCAACAGCATAACTCAAAAGAATCAATTCTTCTACAGTCTTCCTTATTCACTGTCCAGATTTCACATGCATATGAGGTTATTGCAAATATCATGGCTTGGGTCAGGCACACCTTAGTTCTCAAGCTGACATCTTTGCTCTTCAACACTTTAAAAAGGTCTTGTGCAGCAGATTTGCCTAATACAATGCATCATTTGATTTCTTGACTGCTGCTTCAATGAGTGTTGATAGTTGATCCAAGAAGAATGAAGTCCTTGACAACTTCAATCTTTTCTCCACTGAAAAGAATGTTGTTTATTGGTCCAGTGGTGAGGCTTTTTGTTTTCTTTACATTGACATGTTTACATATCACATTAAATACTCTGGTTAAACAAAATAGAATGCATTCCAGAAAATGGTATAGCTCACTGAACTGAAAAAAACAACTAAAGGAACAGATTGAAATTGGGCAGGAAACATAGATCTAGGCAGCAGTGATTCCAGCAGTGCCCGGAATGCATTCAAGTGTCAATCAATTAGAGCCTGAGTTCCAGGAGAGATTGTCTACCTGATTTTACCTAGGTCACCCTTGGTTAGGGAAATGCACCCACTGAAGGGCTCACCATGCGGAGAATTCCCTCCCAGCAAATGAGAATGCTATTAACCAAACAGTGACTGGCCACTAGTCAGCCAAACTAATAAACTAATATCATTTTTAATTCTGCTGATGAAAGCAAAACTTCAACCAAACACAAATGAAACAAAGTAAAATGGCAATTGCTGCCTCTTCCATACGCCTTTTCCTTACTTTTGTTCTGCTTTCCTCTCCTTCAGTAGCTCACAGAGAAAATAGTGGACAGACTGGGATAGAACAGGTTAAAGAATGTCAGCAACGGGCCTTGCATGTAAAAGTACCACATACTGTAATCATTAAGCTTTTATCTTTCATTACTAGAGTTCCTTATACTATTAAAAAAAAAAGTATGAGTTCCGACTCATAACAACCCTGTACAGGGTTTCCAAGGCTGTTCATCTTTACAGCATCAAAAAGCCTCATCTTTCTCCTGCAGAGTAGCTGGTAGTTTTGAATTGCTGACCTAGAGATTAGCAGCCAGACTCATAACCACGATGCTGCCAGAGCTCCTTATAAAGTTCTTTATACCATTTACTTATCTTTTTTATCAAGGCAGATGGTTTTGAGACAAATCTAAGTTTAATTCCAATTTCTACATTTACTAGAAAATTTCCTACCAAACAATTTAACTCCACTGAAAATTCATTCGTATGGTGATCCTAATACCTACCTTATGAAGTTGTTGTGAGAATTACTCCTGATACCTAGAAGATGCCAGTAATGACAGTAATGTTGGTAGTAAGCATGACTGTTAGAGCCCACCAGTCACTCCACAGGAGAAAGATGAGACTTTCTGCTCCCATAAAGATTACAGCCTCAGAAACCCTATTGAGGGTCACCATGAGCTGGAACTGACAAGACAGCACTTAACAATAGCAACAAAAAAATGGTGCTAGTTGGTAGTCATTATTGTTTATTCAGATGGTGATCAACAAGGGAGGTCTCTCTGGATAAAACAGTTCATTCAAGAAATACTTATCAAAAACATATTGGTGTTGTTATTGTTAAGTACCATTGAATTGGTTCCGATTCATAGCGAACCTGTACAGGGTGTCTGAGAAGTGGCTGGTGAATTTGAAACATTGACCTTATGGTTCAAACCGACCTTGCTATCCAGTGCATAAACCAACAGCACCACCATTGTTGTTGTTGTTGTGAAGTGCTGTAGAGTCGGTTCCGACCCATAGTGGCCCTGTATAGGGTTTCCGAGGAGCAGCTGGTGAGTTTGAACTGCCAACCTTGCAGTTCAAACGGCTTTGCAGTCTGGTGCATTAACCCACAGCACCACATTGTAGGACTCCTAAAAACACATATTGCATCAAAATCTGTGTGAAAAATAGGCATGTTAGAAAAAAGTAACAGATAACATGTTCCTGTTAATGACTTTGAATTGACTTTGACCCATGGCAATTTCACATACAACAGAACAAAATGTTGCCCAGTCCTGTACCACCATCCCAGCAGTTAGCATGTTCAAGTCTATTGCTGTGACCACTGTGCATTTTGAGAACTTTCCAATAAAGAGGGCTCATCTTTCCACAATATATCAAACACTCTTCTGTTGTGATCCATAGGGTTTCCATTAACTAATTTTCAGAAGTACATCCTAAAGCCTTACTTCCTAGTCTGTCTTAGTTTGGAAATTCCACTGAAACCCACCCACCATACGGGTGTTTGAAATACAGATGGCATAGCTTCCAGCATCATAGCAATATATAAGACACCACACTGTGGCAGGAGTCCTGGTGTGGCAGTGCGGGTTAATACACTGAACTGCAAGGTCAGTTTGAACCGCAAGGTCGGGAGTTCAAACTCACTAGCCACCCTCGAAAACCCTATACAGGGTCGCTATGGGTCGGAACTGACTCAATGGCACTTAACAACAACAACAACACAGTATGGCAAATTGATAGATGAGTGGTGGACAAATAGTATAATGAATTCTATATAGAGAAGTCATGGAAATACAAGAAGAGAAAGCACTTAATTCTGTCTTCTCCTGAGGGGTGCATCAATAAGAGGAGCTAAGTAACTGCATTTACATATTCTAAACACTAAAAATTGACTGCAAATTTCCATGGATAAATTACTTTCCCTTAGGATGTATTAACAGTTTATTCCTGGGAGTAAGAGGGGGTAAGGAAAAGTATTTACACACTAGCGGGTAGACACATGTTTACATGAGTGACAGGGCAGGGAATATACAATAAGAGGGAGGCTAACAGAGGAAAGATGAAGGTAACGTAAGACCCAGGGAGGAATGCATAAGTCAAAGTGAATACAGGTAAATATCATTAACAGATGGAGGAGGTTGCAATCACTATAATGAAGCAAAATATCTGATTTGTTGAATGTAAAACTGATGATCTGTTCTGTAAACCTTCATTCAGTTCACAATAAAAATGTGGGTTTTCAAAGCTTATTTATATTCCAAGCACTTGTTTATTCATTAAGCCAATTTGCAGATTTTAGCTGCATATTGTTACAGTAAAATCAAATCCATAAGTATTAAACTTAAGTTTAAAGCTTTAATATCCCTGAAGTTTTACATTCCTCTGAATCTAACATTGAGACATTTTCTCTCTACCATAAAAATGTAGAAAACAAATATCAATGTATGACGACACTAAAGTAAAATAAAAATCTTATTTTCCTTTTATTTGTACACCAGATATTTTAAGAAATTCCAGTACTGTGGTTATGCACCTCATGTTCGCAGCTGTAAACCAAACACGGATGGAATTTCATCTGTAGAGAATCTCTTGGCCAGCATTATTCAGAGAATATTTGTCTGGGTTGTATCGGCAATTACATGCTTTGGAAACATCTTTGTTATTTGTATGCGGCCCTATATCCGTTCTGAGAATAAACTGCATGCCATATCAATCATTTCTCTCTGCTGTGAGTATTTCCTAGTTCAAGAGGAATCATAGTTTTGAAACATACAAGTATGATTTGTTGTTGTTGTTAGGTGCCATAGAGTCGGTTAATACCACTGTTATTCAAATTGACACACCAACCACTAAAGCCAGTGAGGATGAAATAGAAATTCTACCAACTTCTTCAATCTGAAAAAAAAAATAAAAGTATGATGGTAATCAGAAATTAAGTAAACCAATTGGTAGAATTATAAGAGTGAAAATGTTTCTACTTTGTGTCTTTTCCACTTTTTCTGCAATAAAAATAGCGTTACTAAAGAAAAGGAAACAAGAAAATGTTAAAATAAGTACATTTAAGTCATATTACATTGAACAAATGTAGAGCTTATTAATTGGCTTTTCTCTCAGACAATGCTTTGAAGGCATAATCTTTTCATCAAACACCTACAACCTATTATTCAGAATAAAACTGCAATCTTCTAGAGTAAAATTTTAACATCAAAAGCTTTTCTGCTTGCATGACTAGTTCACAAGTATAGAGTTAAAAACTAGTTGCTTCTCTGATATCAAAACTTCTAAAATCATTTGCATTCATAATTTGAAGCTTTCAACAGGAAGAAAATGTTTTCAAGTAGTGTTAATTTTTTTTTTTTTTTAAGTTTTTAAAATGTGATTGCAAAGTACTATGTTAAATGAGAACCACAAAGAAAAGTAAGCAAGCAACTAGTCAACACAGAATTTATAGTCTGGGTCAAGTGGCCCAAATTTATTCATACTCCCATAAGCAAACAAAGTACCCATGTTAAACTGTTTTATGTGTGCTGTCCCATGCCTTCCCCTCATTATTACTCAAAAATTTTGTGCCATCTAATTCTTTTTTCAGGAGCTCTGGTAGCGTAGTGGTTACGAATCGGGCTGCGAACCTTAAGGTCAGTGGTTCGAAACTACCAGCCGCTCCGTGGGAGAAAGATGAGGCTTT